TATATATATATATATATATATACACACACACGCACACGCACCTATGTTATTGTATTTTTTCCTTTTACATCAAAATATAAGGGCCAGGAAACAACAGGAACCATGGCCGGCTTACTCATTCCTTCTTTTTGCATATATTAAGTAACTGAAGTGGACCCTGGAGAGATGTAGAGCTCACCTTCTAATGAGGGGAAACAAACCATTGAACAAGAACATTGCAGGAGTGATAAGGGCTGGGAAGGAAATAAAGAGGACCGACTTGATGGAATTTACTTTAGTTTACTCACTTGATTTCTGTGGCGTCTGCTGGCTGGAGGAACCCCATTTTATATGTGGTGGGAGAAAATAGTGTAGGGAAACTTATCTAAAGTTACCCAGTTAGCAAATGGTAACATTTGAACCTAGATTTCAGAGCTTACACTCTTATCCAGTATATTGTCAAACTCCAGGGAAATCTCCAGCGTTGTGGCTGTCACTTTGCCTTCCAGGTCATCAGTGTGAAATGATTCTGAGTGTCCAAGGAACCAGTGGCTTTCCGGTTAGGATAAAAACAAAGCAGGACCGAAAATATCCACACAAACTTAGTTTCGTGCTAACACAGAGGGTGCGTACTTACGATGGTTTGACTTACGATTTTTTGACTTTACAGTGGTATGAAAGTGATGTGCATTCAGTTGAAGTTATTTTGAATTTTGTTCTTTTTCCTGGTTAGCATTATGACCCTCCCTGTCCCACATGCTATGAACTGCAGCTCCCTGTCGACCACAGTCGTAAGAAGGAACAACTGACAGTCTGCAATGTACTGTGTTGCCTTTTTTCCGCATGTTGTGCTTTGTGTTTTCATATCCCATCTTGTCTACAAAATGTCCATCTGTGTGTGTACATGAAATATTCAACACATACTTAAAATGACAGTATCGTACAGTAGCTTTGTGTTAAATGAATTTTTCTTTGCAACGATAGCCTAATGTAAAAGTTCTGAGCATTTTTAAGGTAGACTAGACTATGCTGTGATGTTTGGTAGGTTAGATGTATTAAATGCATTTACCATTTATAATGTTTTCAATGTATGACAGGTTTATATGGATATAACCCTATTGTAAATCAAGGAACATCTGTACTTAAGCTTGTGTAATCTCAGAGGCTACTTCTGGAGGAGCTAAGCTGGGAAAGGAATCCAAGTAGCTAAAATGAATCTAGTGAGAGTGATTTTCACTGGAGTTCTCTGAAGTTCTCTTATCCAGGAAGACTGACTTGGCTTCTCCCATGCATTGTCATGTTGATTCATTTAGTCAACAAAAGATAACTGACTACTTATTCCATGTGTCAGATACCAGGAGAACACAAGTCACATCAGTTGTACTCCCACATTTTCCCTTAACCTGCTTCCTATTACTTTTGTGTCTAGGGAAGATTCAGACAGGGAAACTAGTCAGGACAGTGCAGTGGTGTAAGGCAATCCAAAGTGCTTCAGGAACATTGGAGGTCAGCTTCTGAGAGAGGTGTCATCTGAGCAGAGTCACCTAGGTCAGATGGAACAGGCCGCAGTGAGAAATGGGCAGGGGGCATTTCAGGCAGAAGAAGTTGCCTCCACAGGGGCACAGAAGCTGGAATGCCTGCTTCTTTGGAATGCCACCATAGTTCTGAATAATAGCAGCAAAGAGCATTTTCTGGGAGTGCAGGACAAAGTGGGAGACAAGGCAGGCCTACTTAGTAGACAGGAGTCAGATCTCCTCAGGTAATTCGTGCCTAGACCTGCCAGTGTCTAAGTTAAAACTCTTGCTTCTCCTCGAACAGTTCTTCCTTGGACTGACTCCCTGAGACGCCAGTCCCCAGTACACACTCTCCGGTAATGTGTTGTCATAAAGGAGACACTAACTTGAGAAAATTCAAGTTTTTGTTCCAGTTCTTTCACTTCATTCCCCAGAATCTGGAGTCCGACTTTAGTTCAGGGGATGACACTCAGGTCCACTGTGCCTCCTGTGGGAAGTTTTGTTGTTGTTCAGGAAGGTGCTATTAGGGCTGCTCAGCTGCTATAGGTCTAAGTAGAGACTGACAGTTATATTTAGGAAGCTGGTTTATCTCTTCAGTTTCTTTACCCAAAAGCTATGGCAGTGTGAGCTCTCTAACCCTGGCTTGGCCAAAGTAATAATGGTTGAAGTTACTTGCTAGAGAAATGATCCAGCAGAAGTGTGTCAAATCATTGAACGTTGTTTGTTTGCTTGTTTATTTATTCATTTATTTGTTTGTACCGGAGATCGAACTCAGGACCTTGCACTTTCGAGGCAGGCGGTAGAACCACTGAGCTCAATTCCTGGCCAAACGGTGTTTATTTATTGGGGCAGGCCTTTTGTGTAACCCAGGGTACCCTTGAATATGCTATCTTCTTGCCTTAGAGTACTGGGATTGCATGCTTATGCCACCATGCCTGGCGGCGTTGCTTCTAACTTTAGAAGAGACATTTAGGCATGTGTAAACCATCTTTATCTTTAGTTCACGTTCATGAGGTATTTTGTTTGTTGATTTAATAAAGACTCGATGTCTTGGCTTGCTGTGTGGAAACATTTCACTTCATGATGAGAACTGGCACCTTTAACTAGTTTCTTCCAGGTTATTTGGGCTAACAATCCTGGTCCTGGTGATTCATCTAGAGAAATCAAACTTCTGAGCTTACTTTGCTTAAGAATGTAATAATTACCCATCTTTCAGAGAAAAAATTAACCATCTTTTAAGTGCAGCCTAAGATGATGTCATGGGGTCATATATGGTCATATTCTTTGTGATCTTCGGAATTTTTTCTGGTATATTAAATTTACAGGATATATGACCTTGTTAAGTTTTACAGAAAGTACAGTCCTGCATTGTGTTAAATATCAAAAGGAGAGAAAGATTGATGACTTCCTGAAAGAAGCATGACACAGTGGGCTTTGCCTAGATTTAAGGTCGATCTGCATGAGATCTTTTTAAGAAGTTGGAGAAGGTAAAAGCTCTTTCAAACAAGGGAACCATTCTGAGCAAGAAAAAGGGCTTAGAAACCTGTGGAATGTGTCGGGGAGGGAGAGGGCTTTGAAACCAGGACCTTTGCACAGTGCTCCATCCCCAGCTCCCTCTCCCTTTTGTTTTTAAATTTTGAGATAGTCTCACTCAGTTGTCCAGGCTGGAGTCAAATTTGCAGTCTTCCTGCCTCAGCCTTCCAGTGTGCTGGAATTACAGGTGTGCACCACCACTCTTGTTTCTCTTTCTTTTCTTTTCTTTTTTTTGAGACAGGGTCTCACTGTATAGCCTCAGCTGCCTTGAACTCAGGATCATCTCTCCTTAGCCTTTTTGGTGGTGGGATTACAAGTGTGTACCACCTTGCCTGGTTTGTAGTTTTTTCATTGTCCTCTTTCTATTGATGTCAGTTCTTCCAAGGTCTAATACTTTTCTTTCTATCTCCTCCCTCTGAGATCCCACTTATGTGCAGCACAGAGAGAACTTTCTGAATGAGTCACTGTCTAGGCAATTAATATCTCTTTTCTTCTTTTTCCCTTCCCCCCTCCCATAGATTCTGTTTTTGGTAAGTACTGTATGTCTTATATTTGGTCATTGTCCTAGACTTAATTCCTTCTGTGTATCCTAGCACATCCTCCTGGCAATGGAACTGTTAACTGGAAATGACTGCTGACTATCCTCACTAGATTGAGCCTTAAACCTACTGTGGACCCATTTATCTTCAAATCTTAGCTGGCTGTGGGGGGCCCATGCCTGTAACCCCAGCACTCTGGGAGCCAGTGGCAGGAGGATCACAAGTTTGAGCCCAGCCTGGGCAACTCAGTGGTTTAGTGAGACCCTTTCTCAAAATAAATGTAATAAAAAGGACTTGGGAATGTAGTTCAGGACAAGGCTCTGGATTCACTTCCCAGTACTGAAAAAGAAAAAAAGAGAGAAAGAGTGAGTATTAGTCTTAGCTAGGCCTGGTGGCATATGCCTGTAATTCCAGCTACCTGGAAAGCTGAGACTGAAGGAGAGCAAGTTTGAGCTCAGCCTGGGCAACTAGCAAGATCCTTTTTTGGGTTCAG